CTCTAGCTCTCTGTATTTCTCCCACTCCACCCATAATTTTGCTTTTTTCAAATAAATAAATGAATAAATACATCTTAAAAGAAGAAGTATGCCATAGCCAAAACAAGAACTCTCATATAAAAATACAGGCATCCCAAATTATATATATATATATATATATTTTTTTTTTACTTGAAGTAGTTGAGAGAGACCAAGAATCTTCCATCAGCTGATTCACTTCCCAGATGGCTGCAATAGCTGGAGCTGGGCCATACGCCAATCTGATGCTGGAGCTCGGAGCTTTTTCTGAGTGTTCGATGTGGGTTCTGCAGGGCCATCCTCTGCTGCTTTCCCAAGCCATAAACAGGGATTCAAATCAGAGCCCATACCAGATGCCAACCCTGCAGACAGACAGCTACCATGCACCATCACCGTGCCTGCCTAATGAAGTGGTATCTTAAAAAGCTGTGCCACAATGCCCACCCCTATTTGGTTTTGCTTTGGTTGGTTAGGAAGTTTCAGCCAGTACTTGGCTGCAGGGCACTGGTCTTTATGTCCAGTGCTCACAGCCTCGTGTATCTTTATCACATATTGCAATGCCTAGAATTTTTCTTTAAAACAAAGCAAGTACAGATACACACAGGAAGTAGTTTCTTCTGGGTTTGGACACTTGCTTTCCAATCTTTTACACTGGTTACATCCGCAACTAATTTGACAGATTTGTTTTCAATGTCTCCCCTTCATTTCTTTTTCAAAATATTTAACTTCATTAGAATAACTTGGTGCACGCACACATTCACATTCTATTAACTTCATAATCAATAGCACACCCTGTAATTAGACTTCACAAGGACAGTTATAAGAAGTGCTATGAGATTTTGAAGTGCTATAGATCCCTCAGGGGCCAGAACTCTTTGGAGGGGAACAGAAGCGTGACCCTGAGCACCTGCTGTGCTGAAGCATCCACTGGCATGCAGCACACCAGCCATGGCTGTGATCCGCTCCTAGGTGAGAAAGTCAATGACTACAGTGTCAGTTAGAGTATGCAGAGGGTCCATTATCCCATAGAAGGCAAGAGTTTATAGTTTGAAACACCTGGGAAGTATGATGTCCGAAAAGTTCTAGCTTAGAACTTGGTCAAGTATTCGATAAGGAATATGTAGAAGGCTGGTGGAACCCCAGCCTCTATCTTATCATCCATCTGGTTTTATGTGTAGTTAAGACGCAGGTATCACAAACAGAGCTATATGATGGGAGGATATTTCCCTACTGAAGACTCTGAAGCTACATCAGAGTCAGCTTGATAAATGCTCATAAATATTCATAAGGGCAGGTTTTGGGCACAGGGATTAAGACAAAACTTGGGACATCTGCTCCACACAGAGTGCCTTGGGTTTGGAGTCTCAATTCCATTTCCAAGCCAGCTTCCTGCTGATGTGCACCCCAGGAGGCAGCAGGTGATAGCTCAAACACCTGAGTCCCTGTCTCCCAAGTGAGAGACGTAGGCAGTATTTCAGCCCAGCCTCAGCTATTGTGGATATCTGGGGAGTGAACCCACAGATGGAAGATCTGAGTCTCTTTCTCTATTTCAAATAAAAAGTAAAAATCAAAAAAGTATAGATGGGAATATTTTACCATTTTTTACAGAACTGAAAAATAACAAACTATATTGCCAGCGATGTGTGAATAGACACTTGATAAATACGTGATGAATGAGCTACAGCCCATGTGCAGTAAGCCTTTTCAAATCTGGAGTCTGTGGTATTTATGCATGACGAGGAAGTGCCCAGCGGTAAAATTAATCCTCTGAGTGAATACGGTAACAGAGTTGGAGTGTGACTTAGGTGATTCCCAGAAGCATTACGCAGAGGCAGTGATCTGTAGAGCACTAGCTGAAAGGTTACCCAAATCGTTAAGCCCTACCCGACATTGCTGCGAACTCCAGGCCCCAGTGAGGAGGACGACAACACCTACAAAAATAGTAACGGGCGTTCTGGGTGTGAAAGCAACCTTGGGAGAAAGGCAAGTGTCCTTTACTTCATTAAACAAACCGACACGATTCAGTTCTGTATTAGCTTGAGGGCTGACATAGGTCTCAGTGGAATCATACCGATCCAGCAGCCCCGAATTCAGACCCAAAGGCTTTAACCGTCCTTAAGACTCAAAGTGTAGCAGTGCACCTTTGCAGAATCGCACACTCCTCAAAGGTAACCTTGTGTTTGTCTACGGCAGCAGCAGAACTAGACACATCCTTTGGTAAGTTTTCTCCTTAAAAAAAAAAATCTCCACTGAGAGCTGAGCATTTGGCTTAGCAGTTGACACCCACCTTCTCCATCGGCGCGTCTGGGTCTTGTTCTAGGATCCAGGTCCCAACTCTAGCTTCCTGCCTGTGCAGACCCTGGAAAGCCCTGGTGCTGGTTCAAGCGCTATGGTTCCTGGCTACCTAGGTGGGGGACCTGCATGACATCCCAGCTTCTGGCTCTGCCCTGGCCGCTGTGGGCATCTAAGGAGTAAACTAATAGAACAGAGTTCTCTCTCTCTCATGTAAATAAACAAACCTTTTTCTATCAACATGTCTGTATGCAGTTGTAAAACAACCACCTGAGGTACAAGGAGTTGCCTAAAAGATGCAAGGGAAAATAGCTCAAAGCACCAACACTCAGGCGGAAATCCAGCACTCAAGTTTCTCCGTGGTATTTTGTAGTGGCAGATAGAGGTCAGAAATGGCAGCCCCTCCATGGCGTGGCACTAGACCCTGTCATTTTGTCTCCTCCGGTCGCTATGGAAGAGGCCGGAGATGATGTCTCCCAGAGCTCAGTTCTAATCTGGCCAGCTGGAACCATTTCGAACGGCTAAAGAGTTCCACCTTATTTTTCCCACTTACAGGTAGCCGAGGAAGTGCGTGCACGTTTAAAAGCTTCGAGATCTAAATCCAAAGCAGGAAGAGTCTACCCTGTTCAATTTAGGGTTTAGTGGGTGTGACAATCCGGGAAGACCTGGGAAATAACTACTGTTTGGTTTGGACGATACACTTGACTGCCATTAAAAAGCATATAATTACAGCCTAAATGTAGACTTTAAATTCTCTACAGATTTACTTCGACTTTCAAAATGTATACCGTTGGACGTAGCGATCTCATGGGACAGATGGAGCGACCGGAGACAAAACGCAGGATGTCTGACATTAGGACCCCTCGCTCCATCACGCTCCCTAGCTAACATTCTACCTGAAAATCCAGAGGGATTATTTTCTAAACAGTTAAGGGATTATTTTCTGAACAGTTGTATGTGGAAACTTGTTTTCATTCAATAGTTCACAAAATCAATCTAGAAACGCTGCTCCTGGGAGCGTGGGGGATAAACGCCACTCGGTTGGGCAAAGGGTAGAGACTCGTCAAACATGTCGGGGTGGCCTTTTCCACGCCGACGTGCCCTCCAGTCGAGTCTCCCTTGGCCTAGGAAGCTTTCACCACGTCCGACGCCGCCAGCCCCGCAGGGACGGCCGCCTGACCCTGTCGGGAAAGAGGGACGTGCAGCGAGCCGCATCCGAGCCGCGGGGTGACATGAGCGAGCACTTCCTGGCACAGGGCTGGTTCCTGCCCCAAACGTGCTCTCAGCGGCTCTGTGCACGGAGCCTTTCCGGAGAGGTCGGCAGGGACTCTCCCACCCCTTCCAGGCCCTCGGGGTCTCGGCAGCGGGGGTGTCCCGCATCCAAAGCGACGGGAGGTGGACACGATAGTCTAAGTAAGCGCTGAAGTTTATCAGTTAGGAACACCGGGCTGCGGCGGGGGCACACAGGGGGAGGAAGGAACGCTTTCCTGAACACCAAACACGACCTGAGTGTTTTGGTCCGCAGCGACCCTTGTGCGGAACCTGGGTTTGCTTTCGCTTTGCAGTGTGCGACAATCTTGACCGCCACCTGCGCCGCCCCAGGCAGGGCTGGGGGGGTGGGGTGCGGGATGCGGCGAGAGGCCGGTCTGCACCAGGATCCCCCCAAGACGCCCCACAGCCACGGGCACCGCACATGACAGACAGGACCGCAAGCCCAAGTTCCAATGAATCGCTTCCTTCACCAGCTCCCGGCCAGCCGGGTCGAGACTCTGCTGCGTCGGAAGGAAACTGGCGTGAGAAACGCCGGCGGAGTCTCCTCAGGTCGCCGTTCGCGGCCCGCACTACCTGGCCAGCGCTGCGGGGGGAACGCGCAGAGTCCGAGGGCGCCGCCGCCGCCGCCGCCGCCCCTCACACCTCCGAGCCTACCTAGCCTGCCGGCGCACCGGGTCCGGGAGCGCAGCCCACCCCGTCCCACCCTCGGCCTCCCGGCCCCGCACGGGGCCCGGCCTCCCACACGCCCGTCCGCCTCTCAGGCCGGGCGCCCCGCGCGGCCGCGCTTGCACAGTTGGCGCAGGCCGGCCCCACGCCGGCGGCGCAGTGCCCGCCCGTCCGCCCGCCCCCTTCGCTCTCCCCGCCCCCTCCCTCCCTCGCAGGGGCCCAGCGAATGTAGCCCGCGAGAGAAAATGGCGGCGGCGGCGGGGAATCGCGCCTCGTCGTCGGGCTTCCCGGGCGCCAGGGCGGCGAGCCCCGAGGCGGTGGGCGGCGGCGGAGGGGCCCTTCAGGCGAGCAGCGTGCCCGGCGGGGTCGTCGTCGCTGCCGCCGCCGCCGCCGCGGGGCTGTTGCGGGATCCGGGCAGCGCGGGCCGCGAGCGGGCGGACTGGCGGCGGCGGCAGCTGCGCAAAGTGCGGAGTGTGGAGCTGGACCAGCTGCCCGAACCGCCGCTCTTCCTCGGCGCCTCACCGCCGTCCTCTTCCACTTCTCCGTCGCCCGAGCCCTCGGACGCGGCGGCGGCGGGCACGAGCGCCGGCGGCTTCCAGCCTGTGCTGGTACCGCCGCCTCACGGAGCCCACCCAGCCGAGCCGTCGGCCGCGCCGGACAGGGGCGCCCCGAGCCCCGCGGGGACCGAGCCCGGGGAGAAGCGGGCGTCCGCCTCAGAGCAGCCTCCTGCAGCGGCCCCCGCCGGGTGAGCAGCGCGGCCGAGGGGGTGCGGCGGGCATTGGGGTGGTGGTGGTGGTAGGAGAGGCCGGGCGGGCGAACGGGCAATGAATGAATCCCGGGCACTGCGGACAGCGTCCTGAAGCTCACCGCAGCGGGACTGCGCGCTTCCTTCTCCGGGACCCGCACCCCCTCCTAAGCCCCGAGTACCCCGGACCCCTTCGGAGTCGGGCGGCGCCCCAGATCCAGGCTGGGGTGCGGGATGGGGACGTGCCGGAGAGTTTGTTATTGTTTGCAGACATGTGACAGGCGTGCGAGCCGCGCTGCGGGCTGCGGTTGTGAAAAGACACGGATTGCTCTCCTCCAACACACACACACACACACACACACACACACACACACGCACGCACGCACGCACCCGGCTGGCTTTGTAGGGGCTCAAGAGGTCGGGGTTCTCCAGGGAGCCAGGCTGAGGGGACGGGGAGCAGCCCAGTGGCGGCCCACCCCCCCGCGGACGGATGTTCCTGGCTGCGGGGGTTTGGGGGTCCTGGGGAGCGAGGCCCAAGCCTGCGGCAGGCAGGGCTGATGAGGAGCCCAAGGTCGAGTGGGGGGCACGCAGGGCCAAGGAGAACGCAGGTCCCCGAGGACGTGACAGGGCAGGGCTTGAGTCTCCGGGCAGGTCGGGGCAGCGGGTCCCAGGGCGCGGGCGGCGCGCCGGGCTTGCAGTGGCTCGGGACGGACCGCTGGGTAACCCCCTGTCAAAGCGGTGTCCCGCCGTCTGCAGGAGGCTGGCAGGACGTGCGGGTGTGCTAACTTGGAGCCCACCCCCCAACCCCCGCTGCACCGCACCCTAATTTAGGGGCTTCTGGTGTTCTCCGGCACGCACACTCTGCTCCCCTAAGACGTTGAGTGACTTGTGCTGGGAGTTTGAATTTGGCCTTTGAAGTTTGCAATCAGCCGAGTGGTTGCCGGAGCCAGGACCGGATGTGTCAGCCATTCAGTTTGAAAGCGGTGGTGACGGCTCCCCCAGCACCAACGGCGTGACCCGGGGGTGGGGGGATCCCGGTGCGGGCACGGGGGGGCTGCCTGCTCGGGGGCAGCTGCGGGGCCGCCCCCCACTCTCTCCCCCGGTGCGGTGGGCTGGGGCTCCGGGGAGTCTTCCGGTGCGTGCGTGCAGAGGACGATCCGTGGGAGGTACTTTAGTCCAACGGTTCCTTGGCCTCGCCCTGTCTGGGCTCCTGGGAGTTTTTCTGCGGAAGAAAATGACTTTAAGTGTGACAGCCGTAAGCCTTGATCTTTACAGAAATCTGACTGGTGCGTGCGGAGCGCGACGTCTCGGTGGGCATTTTGAGTTGGTAGAAATGCTTGTGGTGCTAGGCACTCGTTGCATTGTAGAATTCCTTGATCTTTATTATGGGAGCAAAGTATGCCTTCTGCTGAGAGGAGTTTTGACAGTGGGAAGTCTGTGGTTTTGCTGAGAAATCTGGAGTGGCACTTTGTGTGTCCTTGATTTAGTTGTTGAAAATCAAGTTATTACGTAGAAGTTGCTCTCCCCTTCCCCAAGAATCCTAAAAAATATGCTTAGTGCTGCACCATGGCAGCGTTCAGACGAGGGGGGTCTGTCACTGGTATTTTCCCGTGTGCACTTGCACGTGTAAATTGGTATTCAGAAGTTACATTCCTTTGTGAACGCTTTCCTGTTTTCTGTGCAAATTAAGTTAAAACTGTATCTTCTAGGGTGTTTGTTACTGCAGGTGAACTCCAAAGAAGTCATCTTTCCAACTCAGTTTGAGAAATTAATTTTACCCCATTTCATGAGACCTGATTTTTTTGGGATTCAAGAATTTAGCAAACATCAGCATTCTAGATATTTAAAGTGTAGTATAAGTGAAAATACAGAAGTTGTTTAGTGTCAGGCCTTGACATGGAGTAAGAAGACCAAGTTGGGAGCAGATAGAATTGTGGGACTGGGCCACCCACGTTTGATTTTTTTTTACGTTTTATAACTGTTAGTACCCCCCCCTTTTATGTAAGAGGTCTATTATGGGACAATATGTAAAATAGCAGACTGTTGAATAGACAGCTTTTAAAGTTCATTTTACTAATGTATTAATCAGAATGCTGTTGTCCCAAATGTCCTGAGTAAATATTTCACTCTGGTAAAATGCTGATTTCCTCTGTTTTTGAAATGTAAAGCCCCCCAGTTTCTTTGACATGGAAGTTGAAATTTATTTAAAACTGTCAGCATAAAGCTGATTATGAGGAAAATAGTTGCATCAAATAACTTTTTAGTTATGTTTTATTATTTGCTGTTTTAAGTCTTAGAAGAAAAAAATTTGATGATAAAACATTCTATTAGAATCCCAGTTGAATTTTGTTTTTTAAGTGGTAGTTGCAATCATACCTTAAATTCAAAACTTGGACAGAGATTTTCAAGCATTTTTATATCTCAAAATAAAGGTCTGAAAAATCCCTTTTGTCTAAAAATTTATTTTTTAAAAAGACACCTCTGTGGTTTTTCTGATTTTACAGTTTCCTTCAGTATCTGATATTTGGATATGAAAATTGAGGATGTAGATGATACATTTGTAAAGTATACATTTTGTAAATAGTAGCTCCTTACATTTGAGGATCTTTTAAGTCTCCCCCTTTGTTTAGGGTAATAGCTGAAATGAGTGTTGTGCTTGTATGTGGCGCCCAAGGGTTTGGAATTTCTCTGGACTTTACAGAATCCCCGGCTTTTCTTGCTATTTGCTGCCTTTGAAGAAAAATTACAGTGTTGTTCTCCATTGACCAGGCTGCTGTGAGTTCAGTAGATATAATTATTCCATCCTATTTTTGTAACTTAAAAAGCCAAACTCAATTTTCTGGCCCTATGGAAGAACAAGATATGCTGTACTTGTTAATGTTTTTGTTTAAAACTACAGATATTTCATAGGCTGCTTTTATATTTTCATACAGCCATCAGTTTCACTTCCTTTTAGAAACTGCTTGCTTAAAAATATAATTTGGTAACCTTTTGCTAGAAAGATTTTAAAGCATTTCTACCTAAAAATAAGTCTTTTACAAAATTGGTGATTTCACCAAAACAGTAGAGGTGATCATATAACTTAGTCTTTTATGAGTTCCCAAGATTTGTGGTTATAAACTGTCTTCGAGTTTCATTTTAAATCAGGCAAGAAAATTAATGCTTTCTTCAAAGATTAACCTTATTTAATATAGTTCTGGAAGAGAAATATCAGAACTAAAATTGTTGCCAACTTCTGTTTTCTTTTCATATCTGATTTTGGCAAGGGTGACTGGTTAACCAACATTCCTTAATAGATGATTTCCAATACACTGTAATAACTCCATTTTGGTAGGAAAAACAGGAAGCAGCCCTGTCCATTGATGTTCTGTAGCACGGTGAGCATAATGTGTGGGCATGCCTTAGAGATGGTCACTGACTCGTCGGCCTGAAGATTTCAGAATGTGCACAGAAAGGAGTGTTCTTTTGCTTTCAACTGGGCCAGACAGACCAGCTACAGCTTGCCTAGGCTGAGTCGGCTTGTCAAATCCATGACACTGGCTGTGTGCATTCCAGAGGAAGAAATGATGTGGTGGCAAGGTAGCTAATGGGGAGTGGATTCCCCTGAAGAAAAATAAGGGACATTCAGAAAAGCTCAGAGAAGGCACTGGTTTTGCACTTTGTACCCCAGTCATTTTCTTGAGTTTTAAGGGTTATCTCTTGGGATGGAAGGCAGTGGGGGAAAAAAAAAATGTGACCTGGGGTTTTGACAGTGTTGGGAAGCTGCTTAGGAGCTGTGTGTATATGCACCCCTCTGATGTAGGCCTGCCTGGCTTCTGTCACAGTTCCCAAGGGTATTCCTTAGACTTGGAGTTGGTCCTAACTACAGGCCTCTGTCTGTACCCTAAGTCAGGAGAGACACCCATGTGGGTAATGTGAGGAAATAGGTGATATTAGGAACAAACCAGTTGTCCCTAAGACCTAATTGAAGACCATTTGTAATCCCAGAAGACTTAGTTGGGATCAGGAGTAGAATAAATGGCTCATTGCAACATAATGATATTATTCAAGTGCTCTTTTCAAATTGTAGCAATGTAAGGATTTTACCTGTGGCTCAGTGCACCTATCAATAGGTTTAGTCGTTTGCCTTGCCTTCCTTGAGTGTCAGGCAAGTTGATTTGCATATTATCTGACTTAATCATCACAGCCCTTCCAGACGTTGGGAACACCTTCAGGTGTAAGGGCCACAGGATCTCACAGTCAGAAGACCCACAGCTTGTGGGTTTATTCTATGATGCCTCCTGTTTCCTTTTCAAATTAGTAATCAAATTGGTGATTCCGAAGGAGGATGTTGTCTGCAGAAGACTAGACTGCCAGCTAGGTCTCTGCATTGTTACGTTGGTCCTCAAATGTGTACAGAGTGCTTCAAAAGCTTCACAGAAAATGCAATTAAAAGGTAAATTTAGGAGCCCTCAGTCATGGTGCCTGGATCCCTGGCTTGAGTGCCTAGGTTTGCTTTCTGGCTCTGGCTCCAGCTTCTTGCCAGAACAGGCAGTGGGTGAGAGCTCCAGTGACTGGTGTCTGCTCCCCGCTGGGGAGGCCTGCGTTGAGCTCCTGCACGTGGCTCTCGGCCTGGCCTTGGTGGGCGCATGCGAGGAGTGAACCAGCAGAAAGGAGCTGTGTCTGCTCAAGTTTACTTTGGTGCAGAAGCTTTTGAAATCCATGCCTAGAAAGATCTTCAAAAAGTTTTTGGAAATGAATATTATTTTAAAAACAAAAACAATAACAAACCTGTGGATTTCAAAAATTGTTCCTCCAAAAATGAGCTTTTAATTTCATTTTCTGTGAACTTCTCAAGTTCCATTATGCACACCTTTCTGTCATCTGACCTCGTTCCTGTAATAATTTTTCTGTGTTTAGATCCACCCCACATTCCATCACGTTAGGCAAAGAGGATGAGTGATTTGTGCTGAATGTTTACTTAAATGTATTGATTTGTGTTACGTTAAACCAGGGGTTAAAAGGAGGTTGAAAAAATAATAACTTGGTATTAACACCACTTGCTTATCCAAATTATCACCCAGGGAGAGGTGCTTTTGGACCCTAGCCGTTAGTTACGATTTTAGATTTCATTCAGTCATTCACCAGCCTCTGTGGGTGTGGTCCAGGCGGCGGGCAAGGGTCAGGATGGCTGGGGAGGACACTGATCATGCACAGCTTCTTTGTGTGGCGATGGGTTACAGTGTAGGCTAGTTTGAAAACCTCATGCCAAGAGCTTGAGAGAGGAGGATCCAGAGGAGCCCCGTGATTAAACTGGATGCTGAGTCTCATCCCCAGCATGCCATTCCTGGCCCTGTGGTGCATGCCACAGTACCATCCTCACTTTGTGAGCAATCAAGCATACGTTCCAGGGTCGTAGTGAGGACCGGTGGGCTTGTCCTGCCTTCTTTTGGTACATTCAGCCAGGTTGGTTTTGACTCTGTGCCTTGTTTCCCTTCTCTTAGAACAGTTACGTGATGGGTTGGGGCTGGAGGGTAGGGTGGGGAGGGTAGTGGTGTTTCAATGCAGATTAATAACAAGATTTTTTGGTAAGATTTATTTTTCTTTTTATTTGAAGGCAGATTTTACATAGAGAGAAGGGGAGACAAAGAGATCTTTGATCTGCTGTTTCACTCTCCAAATGGCAGCAACAGCCAGAGCTGATGTGATCTGAAACCCAGAGCCAGGAGCCTCCTCCAGGTCTCCCACGTGGGTGCAGGAGCCCAAGGACCTGAGCCATCCTCTGCTGTTCCTCCAGGCCATAAAAGGGAAGCTGGATCAGAATTGGAGCAGCTGAAATTTGAACCAGTGTCTGGAGGGGATGCCGACACCACATGCAGAAGCTTAGGTTACTAAGCCATGACAGCATCCCTTCCACTAACTTTTGAAGTGCCCTTGTATCTATAAATACTGCAAACATAAAGTATTGATTTTTAAAACAACACTGATTGCACTGGCCCCAATTTCAAGCAATTTGTGCCAGCGCTGTTAAGCATAACTGTAAGTTCAAGTGGAATTTTTTTTTTAAGAGAAAATTAAAATAGGAGCATGTAGAGCAAGAGATGGATTATCTGCCCATACAAGTCTTAACATTTAAGTTTTGGAGCCTGCATTGTGGTGTTGTGGCTTAAGCTGCTGCCTTGCAAGGTCAGCACTCCTTATGGGTACTAGTTCGAATCTCAGATGCTCCATTTCCCAACTGGCTTCTTGCCAATGCCCAGAAAGCAACAGAAAATGTCCCACTTGCTCAGCTCCCCCACCCATGTGG